ATAGTTTCTTTCCTTTCCAAATTATATTTAATCATTTTCATGAAAGTATTTTTAACAAAAATCATCTCTTCTGTTATTTGTTCCAACATACAGCTGAGGCAAAATATACAAATTTAGGGTAAGAGACTGAATTCCTGTAGGGAAAAGGAAACCACAGTTTTTCTGACAGAAAATGCTTTCTTCTCTTAAGTCATAATAGATGAGTTAAGTTGTAGTTGGAATTCCCATTTTTGTGGAATTTCTAAAACCAGATAGTGTGCTTTACCTAATAACCCAGCTTCCTTGTGGGGAACATTGTAATTACCCCATATGAGTAAGCATTTAAATCAAGTTGAAAAGGTAAACTCTCACAATTTAGGGACAATTTTTTTAAAAGGGGAAAAAGTAAATAATGATAAATTTTTAAATGTCTTAAGCAACATTTTCATAACTTATTTTGCAGGCTAAGATAATTGGCTTCTGTAGAAATAATATCATTTGCAAGTATTTCCATAATTCTGATTTAATGAAAATTACAAAAAGATAAAAATGTTATCAAGCTACTCTTACCACAGAAAGGACCCTTTTGTCAATGTAATGGCCATTCTCATTCCCTACTGCTGAAAGCGGATGCTGTGCCTAGTTTAGAGAGATATCTTTAGTAGAGAGGGGCAAGGGTAAGGATATTTGAGCTTTACCCTTAACTAAGATGGCAGCATTCCAGCTATGTGTGTGTCCTTAGCCTCTTAGGAAAGAAAAGATATCAGGTAGGTAACTTATCTTTTAAAATAGGTGTTGTTGGACTAAAAAGCAAAAGCAAGAATTGGCAGTGTCTGGACACAGATGTACAGTCCATAAGGCCAAAGAGATCACCTGGTGGAGGCAGCAGTGACTCTGAAGCCAGCTATCACTGTGGACAAGTCACAGTGGACACTACACAAGTCTTTCTCAACTTAATTTTAACTCTATCTAGCTTACTTTTCAGCTAAATTATATTGGTAGTTTTGAAATATTGAAATGCCTTCAGTAAACATAAATATTTTCATCTACAATGTCATTGATCCTAAGGGGCTAAGGACACACACACAGCTGGAATGCCACCATCTTGGTTAAGGGTAAAGCTCAAATATCCTTACTCTTGCCCCTCTCTACTGTGGCAGGAAGACAGGAGCTCTTAGAATAATTTTTAAGATGATGTATGTTTAAGATTTTGGCAGCAGCAATTGCAGTGGAGGTAAACCTAATGACATCTAACAGAAAATGGATGAATTGGAGTTAGCCAGATATGGATTCAAATCCTGACATTCCTATCTACTATTTTAGGCAACTTGCTACATTACATATATGTTACTTTGCTTTCAAGCTCCAAACTAAAATGTCACTCATCAATAAGATGTGTTCACGTCTCTCCTATTAGCGGACTAAATTCACTACTGCACAAACCAGACCCACCATCTTAACCCATTAAACCTAACACGCAAATTACATTCCCCAGTATGATTAATGGGATCATTGTATTCAGTATCGAAGCTAAATCTAAAGAGCATCCCGATTCTTCCCTCTCTCCCACATTCATGTATCTGCTCTAGCACTAAGCAAAAGCAACAGAAATACAAAGATATAGAGCCCCTAATCTACCTCAGTGTGATAAGTGCATTATGCAAGTCAATTTACAGCATTATAAAACAGACATTAGTCCCAAGTTTGAGATGAAGATGCTGAGACCAGAACAAGTACAATATTTAGTCACCATCAGTAAGAAGGCAAGAGTTGAATTTTTTATCCCGATCCATCAGCATACAAAATCATATTCTGCCTCCCTACTTCGCTATTTTCTGTCTAGTCTTATTACCCATTATCTAGATCAGCCCAAATCAGCTCTCATTTGATATGAATAGGATGAAAATATCCTTTTAAACTTTTTCTGTGCCACCATCTTTTCATACTCCTAGTTATTTCTGCATGTTAATATTATTACGTGGATCATGACACTGTAGAGCTGGGCCGGTAGTGAAGTCGTGTACAGCCTGGTTTTAACTGTCAGAGGCTGAACTCCACCTCGTGACAGCACCACCCAAGCCGGAGGCCATGGTCCTGTGCAGTGCAGGGTCTGAAAACCAGCTCTGAGCAAAAAGGCTGCTGGGAAGGGAATGGAGCCGAGTGGCCATTTTATGAGCTTTTAAAAAGCAACAAAGCATGTGGACTTGCTGATTTTTTGTCAGAGCTGCTGTGTAAGGCTACTGCCTTGCCAGGCAGCTGGGCAGCGAGTCTTCACCCCTGCTTCCCTCAGGTGGGGGGAAGCCCCCGACTTCAGCAGTGGTAGACATCTACCCCACTCTGCCAGCTCCTACAGCTGTGGAAGGAGAAATTTAGCTGCTGATTCTGTGCCTTTGTCTTCTAGCTTCAGAGAAAGTCTAAAAGTCAGATCTCAAGGTTCTATTAGGAGCTTGTTTCTAACAGAATCCAAAACAAATACCTGTACCTTGTTTTTTAAATTGAAAAACAAATAATCAATACTAATCTGAATAACAAATGATTGTTATTTGAATAACAATAATTGTTATTTTAATTATTTGCTTATTGAATAACAAATAATCAATACTGATATGGTGGTGGCAATTTATAATGAATAGGCATAGAAGACAGAGCACTATAAAAATATCAGAGAATCAATTCAAGAGAATTTTCCAGAATTGGACATGAGCATCCAGATTAAAAGTACCTTCTAACTACCAAATAAATTCATGAAGATGTCCCCTTCCCGGACAAGTATTTGCATAATTTTAGAGCCAAAGTGTTAGGGCGACAGGATGTCCTAAAGTTTATTCCATGCAGGCTCTGTGGATTCCACCCCTGCTCCAGACCAAAGCCATCAGGACATTGGGAAAGACAAATTTCATCCTCACCAAAGGGAAGGTGGCTGGGACCTGAGGGTGGGGTTAAGCAGCCAGGTTTGGTATAAAACCAGACACATGGGCCTTGGTGGGGGGTTTCCTTTTTGGCTCCCCGTCAGCTCATGGCTCTCGGCCAGCTCTGAGAGTGCCTTTGGGTTTCTAGGTCGGCGGATCGGGTAGGATGCATTAAAGACTTTATTTCCCTATTTTCTCCTTGAGTTGTACATTTCCTCATTTCCCCTTCCCTTGTAAATAAACCTTTTATTAACCTTTTGTGTGTGCCTGCAGTGGAGTATTAGTAAGTCCCTTTTAAGCGCGTGGGTGAGGACCCACAGCCAGGAACCCGTTTTATATCGGGGCTGCTCTGTAACAAAAGGAATAAAGACAAGGTCTGCATAGGTTCCAGCAAGAAATAGATGGGTCATCTATAGGAACCAGCCACATTGGCACTGGCTCCATCAATACCACTGGACAGTTATGCAGCAAAACATTCAAAGGTCTGAAGGAAACAGACTTTGGATAAAAATTCTATGTTCAGCCAAACTACTTGGACAAATGTTTGAAATAAACATGTTTTCAGAAACATATTTCTCCACACATGTTACTCAAAATAAGGGGCTGATCCAAGATAAACAAAGACGAGGTTCAGGAATGGAGGCCCCTATCCCAGAGAAAACTCCAGGAGCACCACCTGGAAGTGGTCCTAAAAAGTACCCGTTCAGGTGACTGGTAAGTGTTCCTGGGAGAAAGTAGTAATAAAACAAACAAGCTTTTCGTAGAATGCCCGATAAAGCAAAATGCTCAACTTAATATAGGCTAAACTTAATATTAACATAAAGGGACATCATAGGTTTAAAAAGGAAATTAGAAATCCTTGGTAAATGAAAAAAACTATACAAAGAATAAATCATTTGACTTTCGAGTTAACTACATTTGCATAGTTTATTGATTTAATTTAAAAAGAGTGATTTGACTATACTAGGAGGTTGTCTGATTAAGAGAGGAGGGATAATTTCTGAAATTGAATCACTGAAAATAAAAATAGAAGACAGTATTTAAGGATCAGCTAAGTATCGAAAGGTACAAGATTCCAGTCACAGGAAAAGCCTGGGGTGTGACTGCATTGGGGCTTCAGTTACTGGAATCTTAGTGCAGTTTGGAAAGTTGCTAAGAGAGTAAATCTCAGTTCTTATCCTAAGAAAACACACTTGTAGTGATCATTTCATACTTGTAAGGGCAGCAAGGACACGGAGCAGGTTTCCTGATCCAGCAGACGGGGTGAAGAAGGAGTCAGAGCCCTCGGTGGCTTTTGCAGATCTTTTATTTAGGTTTACCAGGCACAGGGCAGGCAGGGGTGCTGGGGGGCCGGGAGGCTGGCAGGCCTTCCAGCCCCCAGCAAATCCTCACTCTCTGGGCTCTCTCTGGCCTTCTCTCTGCTTCTCTTCTTCTCTCGGCTTCCGTTCGTTCTTGGCTTCTGCTGGCGTCCCCATGACACCGTCCTTAAAAACCCAGTCTCAGCCCAGGTGAATCCCATCTACCTATGCCCACACCCTGCTCGAGGCGCCCGCCATCAGGCATGCATTCAGGACCGCAAGGATCCACCATCTATCCTGATGGCGGGAAGGCAGAAAAGCCTGACATTTTTTCCTTACCCTACAATACTACATACAAAACCAAGCTATCTTTTCACGGGCTTGGAAAAAATATATGGTATATGGATTATATCACAATAAAAAATGAAAGAACCAACTAAAATAATTAAAAATGGTCGCCTCTAGATAGCCAGCCTGAGAATGGGGAAGAGTATGTATGTGCCTTGACCGAAAGCCTCCCTGTATTATTTGTTTTCACCAACCTCATGGGATATTGAGATTTAAAATATTTTAACTTTTTTCCAATGTGCAATAATGGTATTAAAGATTCTTCAATACTTTTGTTGTATGAACAGTGAATACAAATTTTTCTGTATAGTGTGATCTAAACTTAGTAAAATAAAATATCTGAAATGTAAGTTTTTTGTTTCTAGGCCACATTTTTAAATTTATTAAACTATTAAATTGAAATTATATTTTGTATTACATATAGTTCACTAAACTTGGGTATCATTTATACATAGATACATCTATATTATACCCTAGATTTAGTGACAGTGAACACTGAGAAACAAGACAGGAAGCATTTGAAAGGCAAATTTTATAGATAATGAATCAATTTCTGACGTGACCTAGTGTATGGGCAGAGAATGTTGACATTGGTGGTTTGTAGTCCCCCCGTGACAGTGTAGCCTACTTAAGAGGAAGTCTTGTCCCAAGTCCAATGCTTTTTATGTGCACCTAATAGCCTGACTTGCACACAGTAGGCCTTGTTGAATACTTGCGGCTATGAAGACCCTACCCGATAAAACTCTTGCCCGGTCATTGTGTTGTTCTTCAATGAGACAATCAGAGATCGTGGGAGGACAACGTGTCCTGATACACCTACTGACGTCATGCCACAGCGGTCGTTGTGGTAGTTGTGGTAGTTGTGGAAGGTTGTTCTGGAAGGTTCAGAAAGGAAACCACGGCCTATGGAGCAGCAGGTTCAGCTCAGGCACCAGTGTGCCATGAGATTTAGGGTAAAGTAACCGGACCGTGTTTGAAATCAAGCCGAGGCAAAGGAATTAGGAAATATAGTGGAATGTTCTTAATATGTCTTCAGAGGCCATAACAACCTCTTGCCAAATCAAAAACTCTTGTTATTGTGTCTCTTAAGAGATGAGATGATTGAGTAACAGGCTACAGATGTGAAACCTTCCTGCTTGTTTTCCACTTGAGGAGCCTGATGGGATGGGCTGCCCCATCTTCCTGGGGCGCTCACACAGCACCCCCCACCCCCAAGCCCGCGAGGACATTGAAGTCACTTGGAAGCTGTGAAGATGACTGATGTTTGGTGATACGGAGGCTCTGACTGAATCAGCCTGCCGTGGTGCAGCCCGAGCAGCCAGGGGGTTCCAGAATCCCCAGGTGAAGCTGGTTGGCAGCCGAGAGCAAGAGGCCTTCCTTGGAGGTCTTCATATATTTTCCCCTATGTGTGTGTTGTTCCAAAAGAAACGCCTACTCCCTGTAGAGGCAGGTGAAATCTCCATGTTGGGCCATGGTTGGCCTGGAATCATAAACAGGACATTTCTCCCCCTTAGAGCTTCATTTGCAGCTTAATGGTGCGCTCTGAGTGGCGTTTCTCCCTCTCCACAAAGAACGTGCATTCGCTGCGTAGATGACAGCCTGTCCTGGGCGTGCAAAAGAATTGGGGGTGGGCAATGCGTCAAAAGTTAGCAAGAAAAAAGTGCATGAATGCTTCTGAGGATGAAGCCTGCTTTTCCCACTTCACATGAAAAGGGCAGCCTATCAGACAGAAAAAAAAAAAAAAAAAAAAAAAAAACCCAGCCTATCAGACAGTATTAGGAATTTTCAAAGCTGCCAAAGAGTAGAAATGAATCAGCTTATCCAAGCCAGACCTACCTTTTGGGGAGAGTAAACACATGCGCTTCTCTGAACATGTGGCCTTGCAGTAAAGGCTTGATCCACCAAGGATCACGGACGCGTCACGGAATGTTGGTCTCCCTGGTGATCACTGCCCAAAGACTGAGGTCACTGCTCCAAGACTTTGCCACACGGTGACAGCTTCATCTGTCCATGCCATTATTTTTAAGACTCTGATCCCCCCTATGATTTGATCTATGGTAGAATTAATGTCAGGAAGGCCACCCCTGCTCCCAGATCTCAGTGCTCTGTGGGTATTTTTTTTTTTTTTTAGGACTGTTGACACTTTCACTGACCCATTTTTATGCTTGGTCGCAGCCAGTAAAAGTGATTCTCAAGCTCTAAGTAGCTGATCCTTAACTACCCCCTCTAATTACAGGCAGTGCCAGTTACACTACAGCTCCTGTTGGCCACGAGGGAGTGTGAGAGCTATCGATCATTTCCGTCATGAGCTGTAACTCTATTGTTGAGTAAAAGACAGCTGTGGGAAGTCAAATACACCTCCAGTGTGTCAAATAACCCTACAGCTTGAAAGAGGTTGGTCGATATCCTCTGATCACGCTTTAGATCTGTGGGATAAAAATCAGGGGCAAAAGAACCACATGAAAGGTTCTAGGGCAGAGAGGCACAGCCTCCGTTCAGTGATGTGCATACCCGTCCTGGGCATATGGAAAACAGGCCGGGTCCTGCTTCCACCTCACGGGCCACGGAGAGCCGTGCAATGCCCTCTTATTACCCCCTCTTTCTTCTTCACAGAGTGGATGTGTTCTCACTATGGAGAGGTGTCTAATTTGCCTTTGGATCAGAGGGTAGTGACATGTGATTCTTACTTTCAAATATATTTTTAATGCTTACAAGGAAGGGAATAACTTTACACCAACTCTCAATTTCTTAACTGAATCCAGCTACTCTTACAGCTCCAGTGACCACCCAGCTAAATTCGACATTCAGAGCAGCCCTCAAAATCCCATTGCCCGAGGAAATTGCTTTTATTAGCTCCTCTTTCTCTCGCTCACGGTACCACGAAGGTATCTCTCTGAGCCAAAATGGAACACTGGGTTCTCCAACTTGCCCTATTCTGTCAACTTTATGAAGCTGCGTGGGGATCAAGTGCGCTGGAATTATAAAAGACCTGGGCTTTGAAGGTTTTTAGTTACAAAAAATAAGTGAATGCATTGAAACAAGGGATTTTGAGAGGATGAAGCACAGAGGAGTCACAACTCAGTTTTTAAAGAAAATGTGACCGCGAGAAATATTTGTATAATTTTATGTCAGAAATTTCAGTTAGCATCTATGCTAATTTAGAGCCAGTTGTCAAATTGTGTGTACTTGGGAGGGAGACATTTCTTCTACTCTGTCAGGAGAGGGGCTGAGGGGGACAGCTCCCACTCTGCTCTCTCACTGCCCTCAGTCAGGGTGAGATAAGGGATTTACCTGACTGGTAGCTTGGCAAGAACAAGCTACTCTTTGTTCTTTGTGGAAACTCACCTGCCCACAGGTTCCCTTGCTTTCTGTGCCACGAGCCTTACCCAGGAAGTGCCCTCCAGATGGGCATGGCTGCCCGGGGGTAAAGCTGCCCGTTGGGCTGTTAAGTCTCACCTTTGTCCTCAATAATGAAGGTGATCACTGAGTAGTTATTTGCTACTATTTTTTTTCCAATTTATTCAGAATCCATGTAGACAAAAAGAATGAAAACACCAGCATTTACTCAACAGTAAAGAACTTTGTTATATTTGTCAGATCACTTTCCTATTTTGAAAGAACTGTTGTTCTGTATTCGTTATCTGCTGTGCAAAAACCCCCTTAAAACTCAGTGGTTTCTGTTTCTGTTTCTCTCTTTTCTCTCTCCTGTCTCTCTCTCCTTACCTTTTCTTCCTCTGCCTTCCATCTTTCCTTCCAGGGCAACATTAACTTACAACACTGTTTTCAGGCGCCGTGTTTCACCTCAGCAACCTCATAACCAAACATCCAGTCACCAGAAACTCAGATCAGTGCAGGCGGGGTTAGCGAGAGCACCACTTCTGGGAGTCTTGGCACCCTGGGCCTAGGTGTTCATCCCCTGTAACAAGAAAATAAGAATATTCACTATAAATAACTTTATTTATTGGAATATTTACTAGAAAAATTGTGTTCCTGCACTTCCATTTTTAATTGCTTGAAATCTCCTTGCCAATCTTGTAATTAAATGCTGATTCCATCCAACATGCTACAATTTCCTCAATAAATTTAAAAGATTGTGATTGTTTTTCAATTTGAACTCTCTGAAAGACATTCTTTCTTGCGTATGTTATTTATAAAGTTAAAATATCTAAGTAATTCTGTCAGTTTAATTATAAAGCACAATATAAAATCTGTCTTTTCCATGGGCTGGAGTGGGAGGGGAACCTTCAAAATGTACAGCACTTACTATGTCCAGAGGGGACGGTAGTATCTGGAACTGAAGATGCTGTAATGTGCTCTCAAGTTGGGCTTGTATGAGAGAGACCCAGAGGGCAGAGTGACTCTGCAATCTTTTTTTTTTTTGACTCATTATATATTAGTTTGTATAGGGCAAATAAATACTTGGTGTTCAAATATATTTAAATAATTTTTTTGCAAAAGGTCCATCATTACCCAGTAATGGAGGGATTGGGGTCAAAATAAGAGGGGTGCCATTGTATGGGGAATATAAGCAAGACTGTGCAATCTTGAACAAGCAAATGCCATTGCCAAAGTCTGTCTGGCTAATGACTAGTTTTGTCTGATTCTAACACTGGAAGTTCCCTCCATTACTGCTTACATCGAACAGGTTTCCAGAGCAGAGCTCAATTTCTGCAAAGACTGAGAGAAAAGAGTCCTATTGAGTAATAGATTTAGGGTCAGGGAACAGGGACGAGGCAGGGTCAGGTAAGCAGGACTGGAAGTGATTACTAGAGTATCTGTCACAGCTCTCTGTGCAGTGATTATAGCCACTGTGATAGAGGAAGCCCCAAATGTTAGTGGTTTTTCCTAAAGGCACTTTATTTTTCACTTAAGTTTTAAATGAACGTTTCTGATTGATGACTGCGTCTGCCTCAAGCAGCGATTCAGAAACCCAAACTCTTTCCATCCTCAGACCCTGTCAGTTTCATCTGGAGGATGCCCAGGCTGTCATGCCCATCTGCCCGCAGCAGCCAGGAAGGGGGACTGCATGGAGGCGAGTGAGATATTTCCATGGACCAGGGAGGGAAGGGACACACAGTCTCGGCCACACCCTGCTGGCCAGAGCTCAGCCGCCTGGTGCAAGCTCACAGGGAAGAGGCACATCAGCCCCGGATCATGGGGTGTGCGATCCAGCGGCGAGCAGGAGAGGTGGGGAGCAGGCTCCAGGAGAGAGGTTAGACTGTCTTTTCCACAAGCAGCAGGCTAGGCCTGGAAAGGCTTGGGACTGACACTACAGAGCTGTTGACTTTGACATCCTCATGTCTCCTCTCCGTCTACAGGCAAGAAAAGCCCAGCCTCTTGAGAAGAGCTAAACCAGCCCACAGATTTAGGGACCAGGTCTGATAATTGAAGAAGGGGCGGGGGGTGGGGAAAGCCAGGGAAGGATGTTGTCACCATAGACTCCAACTTGATCGCACTAATTTCCTATGAAGGATGCAAGTGATAGATGACCTCGGAGAGGGGCAGGTAAGCACTGTGGAGGAAGCGTGTGACAGAGAATGAAGCCCGGAGCTCTTACCAATGGTAACAGTATAAATATCTCTCTTTTATTAAAAGAGAGACTTTTTATTAAAAAATTAAATGCCATTTTATTAAAAAATTGGAATTTGATGAGTGTTATCGCTCATGGAAGCAGTGCAGAGCTTTCTTCTGAAACCCGAAGACTTCATTAATTTTCCTAGCGAGGATGTACCATGAGGCTCTTGCTGGCATTTATTTTTCTTTGACCACCGTGTCTACCTTAACTTTTTATGAGTAATCTGAGAAGCCACCACTGAAATAAGATGTGATCTTCCTTTGTGTTCAATCCGTCCTAGGAGTTAGAGTTTTCTCTATAGCTTTTCCCTTTTCTACTTTAAAGTCTATATGCATTTTTGCTTTTGTTTTAAATGCACATTATTTCTTAGCTTTTCAGAATTAAAATCTTTCTACATCCACTTGCTTTGGAAAAACAAACTCCCTGTAACATCGGTGACCCCTGTGCGCAGGGGGTGCAATGTGACCCCAGGAGCCCTGAGGTCATTGTAGCCAGTTCCAGTAGTAGCCTCACATCACAGCAAGGCTAAGAACACATTTCTGAAGCCCCTACAAAGACACACATCTATGAGTGCCAGAACTCAGCAACAATATGCAGAAGATGTATTCCTTCTGAGACATCCCAAATGCCGGCTGGTTAAACTTTCTTAACCAGTGTTCGTCTAATCCATTTTCTGAGCATTGTAGCTTTGCACCAATTCATGAGGGAGGAAATGGTTGCTTAATTGCCCAGAAGAATTTCCTAGAGCTGCTTCAGTTGTAACGACTTGTCTTCCTCTGCCCATGATCCATGAATAACAAAACAATTGAAAATGAAAGTCAGACTGAGCATATTAGCAGCATCTCTAAAAATAAAGCGGAGCCTTGAAGTTATTTGAGTCCATCCATCTCTCCTTTTCCAAATACTCTAATTTCCATAGCTCCGTTTGAAACTTTCTAATGTTTGAGAGTCAAGTGTAATTGAATTATGCTTTTTACTTCATCACCATGCGCTTTCAGCCAGAGGGATGAAATGCCAAGAAATATCCCACTTGCTCTGCTGAATTATCTCCCACCCAGCCTTGAAGGCAGCTTCTCGCTGTAAAGGGAATCTGGATTGAGTGTAGACTTGGGTTTATTTTCCTTCCATCCCTCCTTCTCATTTAGCTCACAGATAAGTCACTCCATTTCTCTAGATTTCACCTATAAAATGAGGAAGATTGAAAAGTCCAGACTTGCAAATATTCTCTGATTCTAGAATTCGATTTTGTTCTGTTGAAGAGAAAGCATCTAAGTGAAACCTCAGTGCAGCACCCAAATGTAGGTCTCCATTTTAAAACTTAAGTTGTCATTAAATTCTTTTGCTGAGCCTGTCCAAAATCCACTCGAAGCTTGGTTTTCCTCTGAATTGTCATTCTCGAACAATGATAAATTTTGCTAAAATCTGTCCTCTGTTTTTCCACTAACATGGAAGCATTCATTCCCCCTGTGTAGAGCTAACTCTCTGGGAAACACAAACCAAAAATGGATGTTTTACCATAATCCAGTTAATGCTTCTCTCTCTCTCTATTTTTTCTGATTATGTGAGAATTTCACATGAGCATGAGGACACTTCGCAAGGTTTTGAAGTATCACACAGTGTTCCATTTTATTGACATTAGGACTCTATGACATAGGCCAAGCTGACAGCTGAGGAGATGTGTGTTGTTTGCCGTATGTCTCTAGACTACATATTCAGTTCTCCCCCTGCAGAGTCCACCCCACTTCTAGAAGTGAAAATTCATACTTTTCTTCCAGAGGAACCAACATTTGATCTCCTGGAAGATTTGCCTGGGAATGGAGGCCCAAAGAAGTCAGTCTGATGTCCAGACCGAAATGGATGAGGTGTGAGTTTGAGTGAAACAAGAGGAAATGAATTTTTTGAGTTCATAGAAATGTTTTGATTTATTCCAGGATGAATGATACTATTTTACTGTGGCACTTTGGTGTCTTTTATCAAAGATAATACTTCTCTCTCCAGAATGAATATAATCACCTGTCATCATTTTCTTCTCTGCACTGAGAAAGGTGAGCTTCTTCATGAGAGATGCCTATTTAATAGTGAGTGACAACTGTATCGTGTCCTTGTTGGTGCTAGTGAGGCCACCGTTCATATAGATCACACTCAGGAGCATTACTCCACATCCCAGTGCAACACTGGCTTCTGGGTGAGGAAAGTTCACCCAAGAGAATTTTCCTGCAATTTTAAAGGTATAAAATGATGATAGTAATAGCAGCTACATTGAGTAGAAATTTTATTTGAAGCACTGAAACTTGAGTTTCCACCAGAAGTAATAGGTCCTGAGATCCCAGCATGGTAATAGATGTTTTATATGTATTATTTCTAATCTTCACAAAAGTGTTCAAGCTATAAATTATTCTCATTTTGTAGTTGCTGAAACTGGCACTTGGAATGCTTCAATTTGTTCAATGTCCCACAGTTATAAATGACTGAACCAGGATTACATCCAGAATTGTCTAAATCCACAATCTTCTAAACTTCTGGCCAGTGATGTTCAAGATGGTAGCAACCAGTCAGAGGTGGCTTTTGAGTCCTTGGCTTTGTGACCTAGCCAAAGTGAGATTTCGAAGTCTCAGTAATAAAAAAAAAAAAAAAAAAGTAAAGTACTTAATAGTGGTTTGCATGTGTCCTCTCAAAATTCAAGTATTGAAATCCGATCCTCCCAATTTCATATGTTGACTTCCTAATGCCCAGTTTGGTGGTAGTAGGAAGCAGGTTTTTGGGAGGTGATTACACCATAAAGTTGTAAAGCTGTGCCCCATATCAGACTCCTTGAGTAACAGACTGCATGACCAATCAGTGGTCTCAGAACAGAGAAATGGTAAAACAGGGAGAGGAATACATTGGCCTCAAACAATATGCACGCAGGTTGAACCTCCTCTTCACTAGAACTGTCTTAAAGTCATGTGTACCATGTGCATAATGAACTGGAAAATTAAAGAAAAGACCTTGTTCTGGCTGCATAGGTATCCCTGGACTAGAGGTACAATTGGATGACCTACAGTCGCAGTAAAGATCTTGTGTCGGCATGGAATTGTTGTGTAACCTCTGCAGAGTGGCTCATGATTTCTGGGTTTCTGAGCTCACATCTGGAAAATCCAGGTGTTGACATGAACTCTAGCTTTCTGAGTTGCTAACCCTATATGTAAGAGACTGATAGCAAATATTTAAGTTTGGCAATGAAGTAATTTTTCGGTAAAATCCTGCACAAGAGAACTAAAGACTTCAGTACTTTATAGAAGCTTATAGAACTTAAGAGAAAGAATACATCTCCATTTAGCTTAACAGGATCCAGCCTTGATATAAGAGTTCTCTTAGTCACATTTTTACAAAGCAGGTAAACTCACACTAAGAAGTAGTGTACACAGCCCCTTTCATTCACTTCATATAAGAACTCAGAGAAAAGATCTTTTCCAAATAGTTATTAAAAATTACATTTTAGAATATTAAGCTCCCCCCCAGGAAAATATCTCAACTTTCCTGGAAAAAAGTAAGCTATGATGATTCCGTCTTTCTGAATCCTTTGTTCTCTGTGTGTGATGACAACTTTGTACAAATTCCCTAGTGAAGCAAGCCTCCTGGACTTGAAAAAGGAACATCTGTTTGCTTTTTGGAGATGCTAAGTCCCTAGGAATTCACCTGTCAGAAGAGACAGTGATTCACTCCAATATTTGCCACCTTAATCTGGGATTTTATCTTCATTTTGATAATTTCCATGTCATTGTTATTGTTCGGTTCTTTGAGTAAATTCTCCTCATGAACTCCTATGTGTGGTGTAGGCTGCCTTATCTTAAAGAAAAAGATTTTGTCCATTTGTTACTATTCATTCATTTGCTAATCTTAAATTTTCTTAGAAAAATAATTTTACTCTCATTTGAGCTGAGTTCTGTGATTTGTTTTGTGTTTGACTAATTGCACATTAGAAAAAAATCTACATAGAATTTCTATCGAAGCAGAAATATTAGGTCTACTCAAAACTCCTTTGGCTGCCTGTCAGCTGCTGCTGACATAAATGCCTGGAGGCTGTAGATAAGGACTGGGGTATGTTCATAGAAGCTCACCATCCTCCACATCCACAACTATGGGCAACAGTGACTGTTGGAAAGCATTTTTATTATCCTTTCTAATCATAAAAAAAAGCATGATCTGAGAATATAATTTAGGGAATATAAAGCTTACTGCCAAATTGCCTTATAAAATTTTGAACAAATTAAGAGCAACATTCTACCTAAAAATATTCTTTTAGAGCATTTTCTCCAGTATCGAGTACTACTATCTTTAAACTGCCAATTTGAAAAGGTTTTGTGCTTTTTAATGATTATGTCTTGGAGAACTTGTGAACTAAAATGTTGTCTAATGTGTTTCCTTCTTCTTTTGTTCATTTCTTGCTTAGCTTTTTCTGATTTTTCTTTGGAGGGCCGCTTGTCAGTTTGCTATGAGTTCTTTGAGACATTTTTAAGTGGCGAGTATCTTTTTGCAAGCTTGTAAATAAAGTCATTTTCATTCCCCGAGATCCTCACTTCCTCATCATAACCTAGAAGTCCTATTTCAATAGACCCAGAGGATGTAGAAGCAAATGTGGGCACTATGATCTTTGGAGGGAATGCCCACGTCCCGCCTCCACATGAGGGCTGATCACCACAGCACAAGAGGATAATAAAGAAGTGTAAGATCTTCCCTTCTAAGACAAGAGATTTGTGGGTGGAAATGAGGCAGAGCAATAAAGAAGAAAAAAGGTAACCAATACTAAAGTATCTCTCCCTCATTCCAAATCCTCAGTGACTCACTGTCCAGGAGAGGGAAGCTTTTGTCTTTAGAAATAGACCACATATATGATTATGCCAGGAATTTTCTCTTGTTATCAATATCAGATAAGACCATAAGCCCATATTTGTTTTATTTACTACTTCTATTATGTTTTCTCAGAGTTTCTACCCAGGTAAGCCTGTGATGGGCTATCTGTGTGACCCCTTGGATAGTCTGGTCTGCGACTGGTTCTGATGAACCTCATCATTTCTTTTCCTCTTCCTTCTTGCTGAGTCGTACCTGGTTGTCGATAAAGGGAGACTTTTCTTCGATAGCCAGACCCAAGAGAAAATAGAGCAGATGTAGTCTGCATTGAGTAAAGATTACACATCCGCCTTAATCACCACCTTTCCTTTTTATAGTGTATAAATTATTGTCGATTTCATCATCTGTACTCAGAGCCTGAAACAGATGCTGAAGGTTTAGTTTAAAATGATATGTGTCTCCTATAACAACCCGCAATATGTTCTCCAAGGACTACTTAGCTACCACAGCCTACAAACTCAGTACAAGGGAGTTTATTGTTAAAAGTACTTGAGGTAAATTAAGCACAATAAATGGGACTTTCCTTAGAGATAACACTTAGCGGAGTTATTACAGGCCTTACCTGTCTGCTGAGGGTGGGCATCTGCCTTGATGACTTGGCTTAGAGTGCTTGCCTCTCCTTGCTGGGTGATTCAGTGTTCTTTAAGTATTCATCCGTAGGAGTTCTCCTAATGACATGTGGCAATCAGCGTTGCTTTCTTTCATTTCCTTTTTCCTTTCTTCACCTTCTTAGTTTGTTATAAAAATATTCTCTAAGAGAAAAATATTTATAGTTTTAATGTTCAATGCAAATTTCTTGTTTTGCTTGTTAGATATTCTCTTTTGTCTAAACCTGGGGCTAGGACACAGACCCAGGAATCCACAATTACATACTCCTCCCTCCACATGCTGGTAGTTCATGTCTCGTGTGGGAGGAACAGAGACCCCCTAGAGGGGTGGCGCGTCCTGAGGAAGGGTGGGTGACAAGGGGGATGAATACACGCAAGGAGAAGAGGAAGGAATATATCCACATCACCCTTCAGGTGAATCAGAGAAAACTACGTTTGGAAAATCTAACACTGTGGGTACCTTTGAGCAAAGAAGTCAGAATCAAAATTAGGATAAAAAATAAAAGAGGACTTGAATCTGATCTGTAGTGTTTGGGTCTTTTACAAGGAAAAAATGTACAGTTATTATTTGTGTAAATAAAATGGATTTTACAACAAAGAAAAGACTAGAAGGAAATACTATTTAAAAAAGAAAATGTGCCATAAAGTTTAGAATCCATCTGTAAATGACAAATATATAGTCTCCAAAAACAGGATATAATTATAGTCTCAATAATAATTAAATATGAGAACAAAAGCAATCTTAAGAATTAAAAGAGGGGCTTCCCCGGTGGCGCAGCGGTTGAGCGCTGGGTTGCGAAGCTGCCCGCAGCCTCTGCAGCGCCAGTTAGATCCCTGGCTGCTCCCTGGCCACCGGAGGAGGGTCCCACATGGCACGCAGACCTTTCCTGCCACCCGCTGCTCCCCTCAGCAGTGTACTTCGTCAGTCTGCCTGCTCTGCTCCCCTCTCTGGCTCTGGTGAATTCTCTCACCCTCCCGCGCTTCTGACTGTACCCAGTGCTTGTATATATAAATAAATAAATCTTTGGAAAAAAAAAAGAATTAAGAGAAGCAGAAACTAACAAAATAAAAGGACTTTTAAAAAGGACAACCTAATTTTACTACATACTAGATTTTACTGCAATTTTTATTCAAACACTAATTTTTTAATTAATTAACTTTGTGTTCAATGGAGTTACTGTCTGCCAAGTCAATCTCTGATAATTCGTGCATACTTCATTAATATTCCAGTCAGAATCAGCTCTTGATCCTTGAAGGTAGGACAGGTCTTTCCCTTACAATTAATATATGCTTCCTAGAATATTGGTGGAATTTTCATTAATTTCTCAAGGTCTACACATACTTTTCAGAGCTTAAGTCATATAGGGTATATATATTTTTGTTCTCTTCGTCTTTTAAAACAATTGACAGCTTTTAGATGATTAAAAAAAGGGATAGTTTTATGATTTTATGTTGAGATTATTCTTTAGCTGACAGTCTATCCAAAAGTATCCCACCACTAAAGAATATAGGTGTTCTGTTTTATTCCATGACTTCTACTGGGAGAGACATAATTGATTTATAAGAAGTATGGACGCTAACCTCCAATGTTACTGTACTTGGAGATAGGGTCTATGGACGGTAATTAATGTTAATAAGGTCAGAAGGGTGGGGCCCTGTTCTCATGGGCTGGTGGACTTATAAATGACAGAGATCTCTCTTCTTGTATGTGCCTGCACAAAGAAGTCCTGTGAGCATCAGACAGAAAGTACCCACCTATAAGGCTGAAGAAGTCTTTGGATGATGCTACTTTGCCAGCATCAGAATGTTGAACTCCCTAGTCTTCAAATCCATAAGAAATAAATTTGTGCTGTTTCAACCACCCAGTCAGCTCAAGCTGACTAACTCAGAAGGTTCTACTCCCTTCTCCCTCTAGAAAAATGACATAGCAGTTCTTTGCCAATGATTGACATTTCCCCAGGTAATGGGTTGAGGCCCCCCAAAAGATAATGTCATAACTGAATCCCAGAGGAATCAACCAACTCTGGAGACAACGTGTCTACTTTAATGAATACAGTAATTCTCGGACATAACAGGCCTATTCCCCCAGTGGGGCCTGGGTGGATATTGACATGGTCAAGTTTGCAATGGAGAATGGGTGCTGTGGCACCATAGGAAGAAATGGGTAGGAGGTGGAGTTATTAGTATTTATCAAAATATGACTTGAGACCTTATACCAGCATTTCCTTGGTGTTTGTGAAGTTATGTAGTTTCTGGGGAAAAGATCCAAGAATTGAATCTTCGAATGGCATTGTGTTCACACTTGAGAGTGAGAGCCGCTGGGAGGGTCCAGCACCTCCACTTAGAGACCATTTCACTAAGCCAAGCAAACAACATATGATGGGAATGAAAGATGTGACAGTGAAAGTTGAGAAAACATCACTTTGGACATTACTAAGTTCTAAGCTAATAGTTTTAGCATATTCCTAGCCTTGTCTCTGTTGTGATAATTGCCCAGTCTACAAGGCTGCGTGAAGTTCAGGGGTACGAATCAAGGTGCTTGTAAGTAATAACAGTCAGAAAGGCAGCAATTGAGCCCTGGAGTGTCTCAGTTTCCCCCCCCCCCAGTAAAGCCCACTCAGTGCTAGGTTGGCACCATCCACCATTTATCTAGAAAAGTTTCCGATGCAGTTGGTTGCAGAAGCTGCTAATATCTGAGAGACTGAGCTGTCCTGATGGGCTGCAAGATTTTAGTCTCTGCAAGAAACAATTTGCTATTATTGGAATTGAACTCAACTAAGGTTTAACCCTGAAGTTACAGGGGAGCCTCGGGTGTTGAGTGAGTGAAGTATTTACTGGTATTAGATTTTTGGTGAGATAAAGGCTAGTCACAGGTAGGGAAAATAAGGGGTGCTCTTGAAAGGATGTCTCTGTTATAATCCTAAAACAGTGTTATTTAGAAATGACTCAGGTGGCTGCTCTTCAAAACCAGTGAGAATATTGAGAAATCACTCTGGCTCCAGCCAGACCCACAGGGAAGTCAGCACTGGCTGTTCTTTGTGAGTGACAGGCTTATTCGTGATGATGTTTTCTTTCTTCCCTTGCCATTCTTTCAGAATCAGAGATGGCGGATGTCTGAAATATGCATAAACCCATTGCTGCACCAGTCCATGTGCCCCCAACCCAAATTTGTGATGAAATAAGTCTTATACTCGTACAAATTGAAGGAATGCCTATATGGTTTAAATGATGCAATTTCTCACTTTATTTTAGAATCTCTCCAACTGTACCAGGGACACTCAGAGAGAGAAATTGAGGAAAATTGTGGGTAAAGAAGTGTTGGAAGAAAGAATGGCACAGTTTCCGGTGGTCGCGTGCTCTTTTCTCCGGACGGTAGAGGCCGTGTAGCGTCGCCGGTACTCTGAGGAGAGAACAGTAGGTGGAAGGGTGTAAAAATGCAGAGCAATAAAACCTTTAACTTGGAGAAACAAAGCCATACTCCAAGGAAGCATCATCAACATCACCACCAGCAGCACCACCAGCAGCAACAGCAGCAGCCACCGCCACCACCAATACCTGCAAAAGGGCAGCAAGCCAGCAGCCAAAATGAAGGTTTGACTATTGACCTGAAGAATTTTAGGAAACCAGGAGAGAAGACCTTCACCCAACGTAGCCAACTCTCTGTGGGCAATCTTCCTCCTGACATCACTGAGGAGGAAATGAGAAAGCTATTTGAGAAATACGGGAAGGCAGGCGAAGTCTTTATTCATAAGGATAAGGGCTTTGGCTTTATTCGCTTGGTGAGCAATTGGGAAAAGGTGGAGAAACTGGGGAATGGTGGATATGGAAAATGAAGCAGTGCAAATAATTCTGACATGATCTGTTTGTTAAAAGCCTGTGGTTGTAGCTGGTGAAACAGGACCAAAAAATGCAGATTCTTTATATTTCTCATAGATTTTTGTTTTACTTGCCTTTTGTTTTACTTGCCTTTTGTTTTACTTGTTTTATTTACCTAGGATACTGGGACTTAAAGTATGCCCCTTAGAGCTTTGTTGTCTTAACTGAGAAATTTCAAACATACAGAAGTAGACGGAATACTATAATGAACTTACAGTTACTCATTGTCTGGCCTCAATAATTTTCAACTTGTTATCTTTTTTTTTTTTGGAAGAAATGTAAAGTTTTTATTTTAGTAATGATCAAGGTTTATATAATTTATTTCCCAAACCCTTACATATGTATTAAGATACTTTAAAACCATGAGGGGATAGTTTTACTTGTATCTGGGGTTTTTGGTTTTGTTTTTAATTTTCATTGTGCAAAAATACATGTAAGATTTATTATTTTGATCTTTTTTTTTAAAGTGGAACTTTAAAAAAATTAATTGATTTAGGAAAAAAAAAGAAAGAATGGCACAGCAAAAGTACTATTTGCTTATTAAGACTCAAAAAAGTTAATGAATAGGACACTCCTTTTTCCTTTTGTCTACACTTTCTTATAGAGAAATATCCCATTTGAAGACAACACAAATTAAAAGCAAAAATAGAAAAAAAAATGTAATCTTTTAGTTTGTATTTTCTATTGCCCAAATCCAGTGTTTTGGGGTGGCGAAGGTTATTGGGCACAAAGGACATTGTCCTGTGCCCCTTTGGGTTGTTCTAGGATGGCAAATAATCAAACAAGGTTCAGATACATTGATAAGAGAGAAAAAGTAAAAAAGAACTATAATAATAACAGGCATCCCTTCTGTATACATGGGAGAGACCCAGCAAAACTGAGTAACTCACCATTATGGCTTCAGAGGCCATTTTAAATAGCTTGGCTAAGACTAGGGAAGTGGAGGGGAAGGAAAAGGAAGGTCAATTAGGGAGTTTACCAAGGAAGGCGCAGTGAACACAGGCATGCAAATTTAAGATCTGCCTTCTCCATTGAAAAGACAAGGAGATTGATTCAGTCTTCTCATACAGTAAGGGAGATGCTCTAACAAGACTAGTTTACATGTAAATATATGTTTCAAAGCATCCAGCTTTCAGATTCCTTCTCATGAAATCAACATTTTTCCAAAGGTCATATTTTGGGTGGCAGGTTTTTGCTACCCAACAGAGTCAACATCCTCAAAAACATGTAGTATTAACACTGGGTGGATCTGATTGCGACCACCATCA